CAATGCATCCTCTCCATCTTTATCGTGCTCCACCCCACTGACCCAATGCAGCCTCTCCATCTTTATCATGCTCCACCCCACTGACCCAATGCATCCTCTCCATCTTTATCGTGCTCCACCCCACTGACCCAATGCACCCTCTCCATCTTTATCATGCTCTGCCCCCACCCAGGCATCATGCTGAGGAGAGAGGAGGAGAGGCATTGACCGGCTGCTCCCCACAGAGTCTAGCGCGGGTGGTGGGGGGGAAAGATGGATGACTGGTCTGCTTCAGAACACATTTATAAGCAGGCCCCGTGAGCGCGAGGCAGCCTTGGCCAATCACCGGCCGGGAGTGGTTCCCTGGGGGAGCGGGGGCACTTGAGGGGCAGACTGTGTGAACTTTGTCTAGTTTATCCTGTTTACTTTTTCACTTTGGAGCACCTGAAGGTGAGGCGTTAAAAAAGAACGAATAAAAAATACACACTAGAGAGGAGGGAAGGCAACACTTTGCCAGTGATGCGGTGCTGCACCAGCAGCCTCGTCGCAATTAAAAGTCGGCAGGGGGAGCTGGGTCCGGCTCGCAAGCCGCAACCCAACACGAACGCTCACATCCCCACCGGAGCTGCTGCAGGGCTGCATTTTTTTTTCTCGTTCTTTTTCAGGAAACAGGAGAAAGCAAGAGGAGTGCCAGCTCCTTCCTCAGCAGCTGGCAGTGGTGGCAGAGCTCCACGGGCGCCCTGAGGTGACAGCAGACAGTGGGGTGACTGTAGGCGGTGGGAAGGTGGGGGATTCAGAGGTCGTTGACCTTGAGAACTCCAGCATCCATGAGTTGATGCTGCAGCTTTGCTCCACCATGACGCCTGTGTTTGTGTCATGGATACCTCACTTGGGCCAGATTCAGAGTGGCGGGATGCATATACAGGAAAGCTGATTGGCCCTTGCCCCTGTCACTCACCGATTCAAAAAAATTATTGCCTAAGGATAAGGTTGCCCCTCTCTTTATGAATTATTGCCCCACCCCTCCCACCTTATAAAATCCTAGAATCGACACTTAAGAATTGTCCCTTAGGATCAGAATTCAGCAAATCCATTATATAAAGAGGGAGGTAAATGCAGCGCTAACATGCCAGTTACAGGCCCTAACAGATATCACTGCTAACCAGCAAGCACATCTGCTCTGCTCATCAATTGACACTTATGATTTGATTAGTTGGACCCCTGCCATTGTGCCTCCCCCTTTTGTGCCTGATTCTGTCTGAAACAGGCCCCCTACCTCAGACCCAGTCCAGGATAAAAAATTGCAAGAGGGATGGATGGATGGATGGATGGAGCTGTCTTGTTATACATAGAAATCTTAGGTCTGAGCACAAGACAAGGCTTAATGTTTCTCTGTCATTAAAATTGCATAACTTGTATAACCTTTTCATTGAACAATCACTATAATTAGATTAAAAACAGCTCATCTTTTCATGATTTTCACAATTTCCACATTTTCATATTAAACATTCACGCAAAATAAGCAAATTATTTGACTTTCATCTAGGTTCCCTCAGCCAGTTCCATCAGAAGAGGAAAGACGTGACTGGGAAGCGTGGATTTCCCATGAAGAGCCAGCGACGGAGCCGCGAGCAGCACTGACACTCTAACAGACACAACATGGCCGAATTCACAAACCGGGCCGTGTGAAAGAGCTCGAGGGCAAGATGGCCCCATGAAATCCCAATGTAGTTATGGTGCAACGACATGCCTTTTCCCACAAAGCTAACAGGAAATGAATCAGAAAAGTCTTGCCAATTGTATCCTAGCAGTGTAAATGAACGCCATTATCACAATGGAGACTATAGAGGTGAGATGAGCTCCCTGTGATTCCTGGTACAGCCTCTAAGCTCACAGCCACAGAAGGATAGAAAATGATACAGAAATGCACCTTGCAACACAGAAAGCAAGCAGTTGCTCGCTGCTGCAGAAACCAGTGGCGAGGCTGAAGCAGATCCATCACGCCGACCCTGGAGCTCCTCAAAACACACCCCCCTCTGTGCGGATGCAGGCTGATGGTCTTTGCCAGGCATGACTGAGGAAATTCAACCCATTTCAAAACCTTTATCCTCATGCCAGGCTTCCAAATCTCAAAACCCAAGACTTTCTCGCCATAATTGTTCTTTCTGGGGTTTGCATCCGATCTACAGCATTTCCTAACCATAAAAATAACAATTTATTTTCATCTTGCACAAAGAACTTAATAATCTGTTATGATGAAGCTTTGCATATAACCTGGCCGGTCACCACTTCTATTTAGTGGAATATGATGACACGTGTATTAATGTATCATGCTAACGCTACAATTGCATTAATTAGCAGGTGATAAAGTAAAGCTCTGTGCGCCGTACAGAAATACAACACAATCTAAATGAACTAACCTTTTAAAGCAGTCTTCAATCTACTGCCAACTAACTGAAATTGAATCACTAATATATGGCTAATCATGTGCTCATTATTATGCTACACCTTGTTAATACTCACAAGGTTTCTCCTCCGATGTCTGCACCTCTTGTACCATCAAGATGCCGATACCTGAGAGTTGTGGTAAGGCTACAGTAATCCCTCGCCAGAAGGTTCAAGGACACAAACAAACAACACAACTGGAATAAGACCTTCAATCCGCATAAGAGGAAGAACTATCCCAGCAAGGCACCTGGAAGTCATCCAGCAAATGCTCATTACCTCAGCACCCTTCAAGCTCCCCTCCCCCCCACCAAAACCACATGGACTCCTGGAAATCAGAGGCCATCAGATCAACAGCCAATCAGAAAAGGTTACATCACATCCACGATCACCAGCTCCCTAGCCAATAAAAAGTGGTCACATCCATGACCTCAGGCTCCCTCGTCAATCAGAGGAGGTTACACCCATGAGAAGTTGCTCCCCAGCCAATCACCGGTCGAATCCATAACTACCAGCTCCCAAGCCAATCAAAGGAAGTCATGTCCGTGCCCGCCTTCTCCCCAGCCAAACAGAGAAGGTTACATCCATGACCACCAGCTCCCTAGCTAATCAGAAGAGGTCCCATCCATGATCACCAGCTCCCTAGTCAAACAGAGGAGGTTACACTCATGACCACCATTTCCCCAGCCAATCACAGGTCATGTCCATGATCACCTGCTTCCCAGCTAATTACAGGTCACGTTGACAACCAACAGCTTCCCATCCAATCAAAGGAGGTCATCCCGTCCATGACCACCAGCTCCCCAGCCAAACAGAGGAGGTTACATCTCTGACCCATTGCATCCATATTTACCAGCTCCCCAGCCAATCACAGGTTGCATCCATGTTTACCAGCTCCCCAGCCAATGACAGGTTCTGTCCATGAGCACCAGTTCCCCAGCCAATCAAAGGTGGTTATGTCCACGACCACCAGCTTCCCCGCAAGCTGCAAAATGTCATATTTATAACCATTAGCTCCCACAGTTAATCCGATCCTGTAATCTCTACTCTACTGTACCAAAGAGACGACGCCTTTTCCTTTCGGAGGCACCAGTCACGTGATGCAGAGGAGAGGAAGTCGATGAAGGGGGGGCGTACCCGCGCACAGGGCTCCGGCGGTGGGCCGGCCAGGCTCTGGGGCATCTCGCGGCAGCGCGTGGACAGGTTGAGGATGGCGGTGGCGGCCATGTGCGCGGCCTCCATGTCGTGCGTGTAGTCGAAGCTGCTCCGGCTGCAGGTGCTGCTGGCGCTGCTGCCCCCTCCGCCCCCGCAACTGAGGCCGCTGCTGCTGCTGCTGCTGGGCACGTAGCTGCTGGTGGTGCTGCTGGCGGGGCTCGAGTTCTTACAGTAGCGCTTGGCTGCGGACAGCACACACACACACAGACACACACACACACACGGAGAGGGGTGAAGCTCGCCTCCCTCTGCTCTTTCTGGGACTAGGCCGATGATTCTGAGATGGTCATACCATCAGACGCACGGACCGGCAGGCGGTTCAACATACGGCCGCAGGAACGGGGGACGACTAAGGCGGCAAACGGGCCAGATCGATACCGCGACAGACACGGAGCGAGACGGACGCGTGCAGGCAGCCACCAGGTACCGTTGCTGCGGCAGAGCGGTGAGGGAGAGAGGGAGAGAAGCCTACGATGATGGATCTCGGCGGCTCGCCGGGGCCACGTGCCGGGAGCTGGGGATTTAGAGCCTACTTTAAGAGGCGTCTCCAGTGAGAGCGAGTCGGCGGGAGTGGTTTTCGTTATCGGCAGAGCGGTGCAGCGATCCCTAGGGCTGCGGAGGAAGCCCCAGGCCCTGATCTTGCTCCCCCCTTGAGTCCCTGTCGGGCTGCTTAGCAGCGGATAGGAATGATGTTTCTCAGGTGCTCACACACTGCGGTACCCTTCCCAAATCCTGTGGTAAACATGTCACTGTAGCCTGCGTTAATAAGCTAGCTTTAACTCTTCATAACATCAAGTTGATTGTTTGTTCAATGGGAAGTCCCTGAAAAACTTATAATGCTGGGTTATAAGTAGTAATAACAGTAGATGTACAAGCCAGCAGATAAGGAGAATGGGGCAAAAACGAAGGCAGGAAGAAGGTAGAATTTTGTATAACAGGAAAAACTCCAGAAAAGATTGTGGGATCTGAGAGCTAGCGCTTAATGATCAAAGTCTGCAGACGTACATGGGAAGGTCTATGGAGAGTGTCAGGGCTGCAGCTGGGATATGCATGCTTACCGTCGTATCCCTTCGGGGAAGGGTCTCGCCCTTGGAGCTTTGGCGCGATGGCACGCTTCCCGTAGACGTGATGGTGGTTCTCATAGCTGCTGTTGTAGTCAAAGGTGGTCTTGGAGTATTTCTCCAGCTCCTTGGCCAGGTTGGAGCGCGGGGTGCTGGTGGGGACATTGTTCTTGTAGCCATATTGTGGGATGTCCAGCTGTTTCACAAAGCACATAGGCCTGGAAAATAACCAGCCACAAGGGGGCGCAGGTTGTGTATAAATGTGAATGCAGTCATAGCTGCAATCCTCAGGGGGCAAATAGTCTGGAAATATATGTTGTATGTTTTTACTAAGGTCCATTTTATTGTGTACCTTTAACCTAAAATTTTGGTGATTCGCTGATAATGCATACATGAGTATTCTGGCTGCCAGTATCGTTCAAATTAAACAATAAGCGCCATGCCAACAGCTCAAATAAAAGTCACTAAATAGTCAGAAAACAAAAAAATCAATCATTTTCTGACAGGGGAAGTATGGTAAAAGCAGTGTTGCTACTGGGTACAATGTTAATAAATATTTAAAGCAATACAGGGCAGCACTGAGACTGAGTGGTTAACATCACTGTCTCACATCACTGAGTTTGGGGGTTCAAATCCTTCCTCTGCTTGGTGTGTGGATTTTGCAATGTCTTCTCTAAATTGGCCATTGAGTTTATATGTGCCCTGTGATGAACTGGCATCTGATCTATCATGTTCCCCTGCCATGTCCTCTATGCTAGTGTTTCCCAACACAGTCCTCGGGGACCTCCAGACAGTCAACGTTTTTGCTCCCTGCCAGACAGTCAACGTTTTTGCTCCCTGCCAGACAGTCAACGTTTTTGCTCCCTGCCAGACAGTCAACGTTTTTGCTCCCTGCTAGACAGTCAACGTTTTTGCTCCCTTCCAGACAGTCAACGTTTTTGCTCCCTGCTAGACAGTCAACGTTTTTGCTCCCTGCTAGACAGTCAACGTTTTTGCTCCCTGCTAGACAGTCAACGTTTTTGCTCCCTGCTAGACAGTCCACAACGTGGGTCCCCAAGGAGCGAGTGGGGAAACACTGCACTATGCTGCCAGGGTTGGGCTCCAGGCTCCCGGTAATCCTGTCCTGGACGGAAAATGGATGGATACGCAACTATACTATATTTTACTGTACCTGCAGTTCATTTTCTGTGCCTCAGTCCTGTCTTTCATGTGGTACCTAGTACGCCAATCAATGTGAACATAGGCTGCGCATTTGCTTATTTTTCAGTTCATGCCGTATCAGTAGTGTAACAGTAGTGCAAAATGCGCACACACAAACAAATGCCTTGTAGTTCAGACTGCAGAGAACAAATGCTTATTGTGGTTATATTCCACACAAGTGCACCAACTATTTAGGCATAATACCAAAGTATTTTCATTTTTTAAAATTTTGTCCTTGTACTGTGGCCGGGGCTGTCAGGGGTGCACAATGTGATAAACATCGAAGTCACATGATGCTCGGAGGTCCCCTTATTAGGTAAAATTGCTCATTAATGTTAACAGCCTGATCCGACAAACAGAACTGCATACAGCAGGCAGACGGGGTAAAGAGGTTCAGTTACTGTGCAGCTAAACACTGGAGCAACTAACACATATGATCTAAGTGATTTTGAATGTGCTCTAACGAAAGGTAAAACACCTCACTGTAATGCTGGTATGCGGAAAGGCTTCTCTAGATGCACGACATCGAATCTTTCAGCGTATCTAAATGCAAAAGGGGGTCCGACCTCTTACTAAGTAACTGTGCTTGATAAAACAGCCACTGAGTATACTGTGTAACACAATGATACTGTAATAATAAGGTAATAGCTGAATCACAGGCATTACCTTTTAGCACAGCAGTTGGGATTTGTATGATTTATAAATGAATAAGTTTCAAATAAATGTATGTTCATACCATGATAATAGTATCATCACAGCACCCCCATTGCAGAAGGTAAATAACAATGCTGAGAAGATTGCTGATTTCAGGAGAAGGGGCAGGGTGTGGACGGTACCTCAGCACCCGGTCTGAAGCTTGGCAGGACTTGGGGCCATCACAAGAGTGGTGCTTCTCATGGACTTTGGCCATCTTCTCAGCGGCAGCGATGGGACATCCCGACAGGCTGCAACAGCATTAGAGGGGGTCGGCGGACGTGCCCGGACACTGCCTTTAAATTCCGCTGGCACTGACGCCCCCCCGAACGCTCAGTGACACACAGTGACATTAGGAGTGGCTGTGGAGAAATGCTGGAAGTCTCACGCTGGGATATGCACACGTCAAAGACAAACACGGAGGTGTGTAAGCAAACATCTCAAGGCTCACCTCGGCCTGCATGGTGCTCTCAGGAATGCTTTACTTTATAATATTTTAAAGATGTGTGTGTGCGTGTATGTGTTATGCATATGTTACATTGTGAGGACCAAATGTCACGTGGGGACATTTTTTTCGGTCCCCACAAGGGGAACCTCAAGTTTCTGAAAATCTGTGACTGCAATCAAAAAACTAAAAATGGCAAAAGTTTTGTATTTCATTTGGTTACTTATGGTTAAGATTAGGGCTGGGCAGGGGGTAAGGTTGTAATTGTTGGGATTATGGTTTTGCTCATAGAAATTAATAGAGTCCCCAAAAAGATATCAATACCTAATCTGTGTGTGCGTGTGTGTGTTTGAGCGACTGGCCTGTTTGGAGTTATCTGCCAAAGCAGACTGTGTACATGGGGATGCTGTTGCCACGGAAGCCTTCACTGAATCGCTTCTCTTTGGGGAGGTTATTTGTTTTGAATTATGCTTTTATTTAGTCCAAGTTTTAATTACACCACCAAGTTTGGGTACATCTGCTGGGTAATTGTGCTCCCAACCCCCCCCCCCCACGCCCTAGAGAGCTCCACGCTGCCTCAGAGACGGAGAGCCTGAGCAGCGCCGTGGGGGAACAAGGGCTCCAGGCCACGCTGCACACCCGCCGCATCCCTCTCATTCTCTTCCACTTCCCGGCTCCCATCTTTCCCTCACTCATCTCTCCTCCTTTCACCTTATTCCCCAGCCTCTGTCTTTCGCAGACACAAACACGCCCAGCTAAGTTGCCTCTGCTCTCTCTTCTCACGAGAGACACAGGGAAAACAAACGTGACTCGCACAGATTGTACGTCGCTTGCAAGGACCCGAGCGGGCCTGTGACATGTGATAAGCTGACAGAGGGATTTCTGTCAGCAAGTCTCCATGGCAACAAGGGGAAGACCAGAAAAACACACTCATATTTCCTTGAGGTTTTCATTTGCCTTCTCTGAGGAGCTCTCAAAAGAAGGCCTACCTGTGTGTGTGTGTGTGTGTATGCCAGTGCCTGAAGCTACTGACAGCAGTGTGCGTGACCCTGTGTGTGCGGTTCTTGGTGTACATCCAAAGACTGCTTTCCAGATTCCAAAATCAGGCGGCCATATTTTTCGCCTGTCCCGCTATTTATGATTTTCCCCTGAGTAACACGACCTGTTAGCACCTGGTGTCGCACAGCATTTGCTGTGTGCAGTCTGACGGGTAAGGGCTGTGGGTTCGTGCCCTCGATGAGGCTGCTGCATTGCTCGCTAAATATTTCTGCACTAACTTTTTATTTTTATTTTTAAGCATTCAGATAGTATTCAGTTTAGTATTCGGTTAGCATTCAATTTAACATTAAATCAGTATATTATCAGTTTAGCATTAAGTCAGCATTCAGTTTAATGTTCAGTTCAGCATTTAGTTAGCATTCAGTTTAATGTTCAGTTTAGAATTGAGTTTAGTATTCAGTTAGCATTAAGTTTAGTGTTCAGTTTAGCATTTGGTAGTGTGTCAAGGCCTTGAGAAAATAAATAATACTAAAATAAGAGGCTAAAATGTAAAGCCTACCAACCACTTTCCCCTCCACTCCTAGTTCTTCTTGATTTCAGATTTAAAGTTGTGCTGTAAAATAAAATATGGTGCCCTGGACGGAAGGTCAGGTCCTGTTATCCTTTTATAACTAATGATTGCACTATAGAGTATAATAGTGACACTTTATTCATCTTCCTGGGGAAATGGTGTTTTTGTCCATCCCGTCTTACTTTCCATGAGACAAACAGATACATATACAGGTGAGAGCAAGCTTGGGGGTCACAGCACAGGGTCAGGTAGGGTTCAGCTTCCCTGGAGCAATTGGGGACTGAGGGCTTTGCTTAACGGCCCAACAATGATATCATTCAGCCAGCCACGTGATTTGAATCAGCAGCCTTCCAATCATGAGTCCTAACCTGCAGAGCCACACATCTCCTTAATATATATCTGTTCTGAATTCTCGTTACTGGTTAGCAGTGAAAAACCAAGCTGATCTAGACATATCGTTAGAAACACACTGTCACAAAAGTGGAGAAACGTGGCAGCTGTCAGAAAATCTCCCCGCCGCCCCCGAAGCCTCCTTCCTCTTCTTTGGTCTCAAAAACACAAACATTTCTTCACAAAAGTTCAGTTTTTAATTAAATATAACAGCTAATTAACCGTGTAACTGCACCTTTGGCCTCCACTTGTTAATTCATACAGGGCCCCAACGCTGTGGGCAACTGCTGTGGTTCTCCTGCTGACTGAACGGTGCGGCGGGGCCCTCAGCTCTTGGCGGCAGCTTGGTTTGGACCGTGACGGTTCAGACGCCCACGCTGACTGAAAGGCAGATAAAACGAGCCGTGCTGAATGACGGCCGAGGCTGCAGTGTGCCGCTCCTCACGGAGATCCGCTGGCGTTTTCTCCTCCCTGATCTGTAGCGCAGTCTGACTGAACTCAAAAATATACATCATTAAAAAGATAAGCCTATGCTTCCTTTGGACACTGGTATTCTGATGCCTCCAGATCATTAAAAGGTTTTTCACTTGGTCCTTCGCTTGCTTTGTTACGTCCCTTAATGCCTTTAAACATTTTATGGATTTAGTTGACGTTCTCTATCCAGAGACACACACATCTTTCATGGAGAGACTTTGACTTCTTCCTCCATGGACCACCCAGAACCAGGGAACCGTAAGACCACAGTCTGCACAACAAACTCACCTACCAAAGGCCCTCCTCAGACAGTCCCCATTTTTGTTCCCTCCCAGCTCCCACCACCACCTACACCAGGTATTCAGTGTTCTTGATTGTTTCAGGTTTCGGATGCTAGAAACTGGGAGGGAGCAAAAATGTGGACTGTCTGGGAGTCGCAGAGGACTTTGTTGGGAAACACTGTTTCCGATAAACACAAATGCCTTTGGACAGCTAATCTGTAAGTGACAATGGCAGGCATAAAATGAGAAGCAATTAGTGCACAGTGGACAGAGAATGGCAGAGATACGACTCCCCATCTATATGGAATCAGGTGTCGGTGAAATCCACGTGGGCGTTGCAGTTAATACCACACGTGAAACATACCTTTACGTTTTATTTATTTAGTTAGTAGATACTCTTATGCAAAGTCATGTACATTTTTGAGAAGGCAACGTCAGATAGTCTCTTGAGCAGCTGGAGGTTAAAGACCTTGCTCAAGGGCACAACAGCGAAATCAGTGTTCTGCGTCTGGGATTTGACCCAGCAACCTTTCGATCACAGGCACAGCAGCCTAAACCACTGAGCCACACACTGCCCCGCTACATATATGCTTGAAGGCAGCCTAGGTAGGCCCATTACTGAGAGACTTGATCCATCCATGTTTGTCCCACAAACAGAGAGACAGACACACAGACAAAAACAAAAGTGGCGTGCAGAAGGTGAGGGGTGAGGGGTGGATGGCCCAGACGCACTCACCTGCGGTGCGAGTTCCTGTTGCTGTTGACGTGGCCACGTCCCGTGCAGCCGGGCGTGGGGCACTTAAGAACATTCTCATACATCGCAACGACTTGACAGGACAGAAGAAGCAAGAGACAGGCAAGGTTAGGGTTCCCTGGGGACACTTTACGCTCTATTAGCGTTAGCGGCAGGAGATCACACGCATGCAGGGGTCGTGCAGCGGCGGCGTGGGGGCTGGTGTGCGTATCAGCGTGTCCGTATACAGCGGCGTGATGCTTTCTGTGGCCGCTCTGGCTGACACTGTCACCGTAGCAAATAGCATCAAACCAGCTGCTGTGTGCCGGTGAATATGCTGGCTTTTCCAGGCTTAAGTGCTTGCATGATGTGTGTTGTTGTTGCTGCCGTCTGGAGCGTGGGGGGGAGGGGCTGCAGTAAACAAGCCACTAGCGAGACACAGTGACATCTCACTCCTGCTTTTTCAGATGTTGGTGTGGCCAACTGGTTAGCCCATCCTGTGGTTGGTGTGGATCCCAGTGCCCCAGGGCAGTGACGGGACACTATACTGTAAAATGGTGTCGTCCTTCGGAATGAGACATGAAACCGAGGTCCTGACTCGCTGAGGTCTTTAAAGATCTCTGGGCATCCTTTGAAAGAGTAGGGTTGGTACCCCAAAGTCCCTGCTAAAACTGCCCACTGTGGCACTATGAAATCTGGCCTTCTAATCATCCCCTATATCTAACCGGTGAATACTCTCCTGCCCCTTCACCACCTTAGCTGTGTGGTGAGCATATTGGCTGTCGCATCATTCAGGTGGGTGATACACAGTAGTGGTGGTTGAAGAGGCTCCGCAGTGCTTCTATAGAACGCTTGGGGTGTCTTGAAAAGTGCTATATAAATGTAACATTCATTCATTTGGATTTAATTAGACAAAACTAAATTCACCTTATAAATGGCCACTGGGGCTAACAGGATTTCCTATTGCATGTTACATCTCTGAACTATTTGAGGAAAGGAGGATGCTTGGAGAAAAGCAGTGCAAAGATAAGGATCACAGAACTGGCATTTCACATGTGTTGCACATGTGATGTATGATGTCAAGTGAAGATTAGACGGGCACTAATGATGTCATCCGCACCATACATCAGCACCATATCTGGCTGCTAGGCAAAGCAGACTCCTTGTTAAGATATCAGTCTGAAAGTCCAAATTTCATCTCTCAGATAATAAGCCGGGGGAAAGGGAATGAAGTGCACCTCTTGAATCATATCCTCCATCTGTAACCAAAATAACACCAGCAGTAGTACAATGAACGGGAAATCCCTGTACGTGACTCAAACACCCAGCATCACGCTAATCATCGACAAGGACAATCAGAGACGTACACTGCTTCTGCTCTTCGTGCCTTGTTTGGATTCTCAATTTGGTCGACTGCATCATCTCTATAAAAAACCCATGAGAGTTTTTCTCTAATAAACACGATTCTTAGCATTCCATACCATTCAATTAAACTACCTGGCATTTAATTGAAAGCATGGTTTGGAAACGTATCTTTTAAAAAAAATTTATTCAGATACATTTCAATAAATTTTACGTGATGTTTCATAAATGTTATGTGATGTTTCATAAAGTAACACACATATATCCATACATAGCACAGCAGTCTGCTGTATGTTGTCCATGGCTTATATATTCTGTTATATAAGCATATACACATATTTAAAAATTCCACAATCAGTTCCTCCAATCATCAAACACAAACTAACTCGCATGGAACTGCATAGCTGATCTTTGGCCTTATTGCAAGCTTTAGTGATCACTGCAAGACACATTCATGTTTTAAGCTTTCAAGGCGTCTGTTGTTTAACATAAACTGGGGCAAACTACCATCCAGCAATCACATTGGATTAAGGTGCTTGATTAAAACCTAAGGAAGCCTGAAAAATGGCGGCAGATTCAAACGCTGAGTTTTCCCTTGGTGGCGATCAATCCGGATCCACGGTGCATGCATAGCACCCATGAGATCCGAGATCATTAAGAAAGCTGAACCAAACCAAAGGAAGCTAAATATGAGAAGCAATGGTATCCCTTGGTAACCTGTGAGTCCAAGTGTCCAGCTCTCCTGTGAAGTGAGGGACATTTGGAGATTCCTTGCTGATCCAAGGCTTGGGGAAATTAATGAGTCGTTACATTCGAGCCCTGATTTTCTGACATTTAGGAGGCTTAGATCAGGAATGGAGATTTTTTTCTTAATGTATGAGAATTGCTGTCAGCAGTCAGGATGAAAGTGGTAAGTATGATAAGAGCCTAAAATTTTGGTCTGGCTAAATAATAAATAATAATAGTAATTAAACTTAAAAACAGAATTGGATTGAAAAAATTTAAGATTGAAGTTGGGCACATAGGGAGAGAAACACAGAGCAGAATGATGAGGCCGCCGTGACACACTGCTGCTGACGGATCAGCATGCGTCTGAGGGCCAGGGGCACCCCCTGAGGACCCACTGGAGACACACATTACTGCACGTCAGGGCTACTGGAGTCTGGGAAGAACAGGGCCCACTGTTGTCTACCATGCATGCATGTCTCAGGTAGCTGCACACATTTTGATTTGAATAAATACAAGACTGAATACAGGGGTCGGGCCACAATGACACCAGCTGATTGGCCTGCAGATTTCCCCCTCACCTGTCACTCACCAATTCAATACAATTCAATATCTTTGGCTAATATTGAAACAAAAAGTCCTAGAATTGACCCTGAATAGACACGTTACTACTTAGAATGGAACAGGGGGCTTGAACCAGCTCATGAGCAGTAAGGTTGGGGCCAGACACTTGGGGGGTCCTTTCTTTGAGTAGCAGTCTTCTTTATCGGCTGTCAGAAAAGCAAACAAGCCTTGTCCCAGTTTTTATACTGGATTATGAAAAAGGGAAACTTTAATAAACACCCCATTGAGCGAAAGACTAGCTGGGGTGAGTCTCCGGAAAAAAGCCACGGCATCCTGCTCCTGATGCGATCAGACAGAGCAAGAGGAAGAGTTTGCTGCCAGGAATCACCAGGGTTAATGTTTATCACAACCTTGGAGCTTCTGCTACACAAAACCATGAGAATTCACATTAATCCAAGCGTGGAGACGCCACCCATCCTCACATTACATCAGCGGGTGTTGCTAAATGTAAGTCCAGGCACCGTGTCGCTACATAAAGTGCTAAATGACACCAACTGTCACGTCTACCTGATATTATATGACCACTACAGCAAGGGCAGGCGGAGAGGAAGAGGCCTTCGGCTCTCTGGGGGGGCCTGACCTTCCGTCCAGGGCACAACGGGGGACCCACCTGACCACACTGAACGGAACTTCACAAAATATACCAAAGCAGGAAAACGGGGCAAGTCTCAAGGAATTATAATTAAAAAAAGAAAGCTGTGTGTGTGCGTGTGTGCATGTGTGTGCTTGTGTTGGAATTGTTAGAGGTCAGTGTGGGGAGCTAGCGGGAGAGTGAGAAACACAGCGGCCAGCAGGCAGGAGCAGATGAACTAGAAGCATATGCTTCATTGGGGACGAGGAAACGGAGGTGGCATGTGGGCATCAGGACTGGCGGGCATGCGGGCATCAGGACCCACAAGCGGTCGGGCATCGGGATCAACAGGCATGTGGGCATTGGGAGTGACGGGCATGCGGGCACTGGGACCAGCGGGCATGCGGGCATCGGGACTGGCAGGCATGCGGGCATTGGGACGGGCAGGCATGCGGGCATCGGGACGGGCGAGGATCGGGACCGGAGGGCATGCAGGAATCGGGACGGGCGGTCAAGCGGGCATCAGGACCAAAAGGCACCGGTGGTCAGGCAGGCACCAGCACCGGCAGGCATCGGGACCGGAGGGCACTTGGAAATGAGCAGAGAACGAGGGCCTGTCACGGGCCGGTCCGCTTACTCTCAGGTGGCACCCTATCCTTGTGGGGGCAGCCTGACAGGCTGCGGTGGTGTGGATAGAGTCCGGTGACGTGGCCTGTCCCGTCACAGCCAGGGGTGGGACACTTGCTCTCCTTTTTCTCCCCCCGTGAAGACTCTGAAAACACAGTAATAAAGCTGCTCACCTACAGCCTGCTCACACTCCCCCCCACATCGCTAACTGATCTCACTAAATAAATCACAGCATCGATTGAAACATCTGTCCTGTCTCCATACAGCCCTGATACTTAAACTGACCCCAATACCAACCCAGGAATCAAACTCCAAATGGAAAGCCCTTTCCCAGTTACAATACAGGAGTAATTCTGACACCCCAGATTTGTGATGACATTTTTAAATGACAGATAATGGTGTGACTCCTGTTACCTAAACGAGGATGGCTTATGAATGTATCTGAAGTGTGTCTGCCTCATTTATAAAACATTTATAAAATTCTGATGGCATTAAGCATCCCAAGAGATCCTGCGGATTCAACGGCTGTTCTATCCTGTTCTACCTTGCTAACTGGTCAATGTTTTTATAGGATTTGAGATCCTATGGTAAAACACAGAGCTATATTTTAGCATGTGGCTGTCTTTAATCAGTTTTGCAACTTAGTTGGCTAAATGAAAATGAAGATACAGATATGCATGTGAGCGGAATTTGCCTTAGATTATAATGTGAGGGTGTGAGCCATCACGCACCCACCCAGACGGCTGCGCGTGCACACGCACGTACGCATGCACACACACACACACACACACACACACACACACCCTGCAGCCCTGGTCTGACTTTGAGGCCCGTCCCTGTGGATCTGAAAGCACACCCCCAACCCAGACTCCACCTGTCCACTTCCTCCTTCACTGATTTTGGCAGCTGATGAGAACCCAGCCGTGACGGGCACCCGCCCTCCCTCGCACCGCGTCCCCCCCCCCGCCGGTTGCCAAGGCCTCGGCCAGCCACTGTCCCCCGGGGGGGCCACAGAGACAGGCTCTCGGCGAGTCTGCCTGACAGGGGAGCCTCTAATTAAACGTGAAATGTGGAGCTAGCCAGCGCCACGGAGGAGAGCGGTCCCTGGACCGAGGGGGGCGGGAGAGACGGACCCACACACACGCCGGCCCGGGGGCTGAGGCGAGAGCTAAGCGCTGACGTGGCTGCTCTCTGCAGGACCCCGTTGCATCGCCACCAGGCATCATTCCTCACGACTTCCTTGGGAGTGTGCTGCTCTCGTTGGGGATGGGATCCGCTCCTGTTCTCAGCTGCTCCCCTCTCCCCGCTCTCGCAAATTATATGTGCAGGCTTGAAATATGCAGATAAGGAGCAGAAATGGGCAACAGATGTTGGCAATAAAGACGAGACACAGCACATCCATTCACATGGCCTCATCCTGCCTGCTTAAATAATTGGCTCATCAGGCAATTAAAATTCGATATCTCCCGGGTGCACACAGGCGCAATAACACACACACACACACACACACACACACAGGAACACTAATACATTAATACATAGACACAAACATACACACACACTCACTCGCTCACAGATGTGTGCACTCACACAGGGGCACTAATAAGCACACACCTGCAGACACACACACACATACACACACACATACACACACAGATTAGGTATCTATAACTTTGTGAGGACTCTCAAAGGTGAAAATAACAGTGCAAACAGTGAGGACATTTGGTCCTCACAATGTAATATATTAATAACCACTAAGATACACACAACTACACATGCACAGTCCACGTATTCATATGAATGGGCATAACCCTAATCCCAAAACTGACAACCTCAACCACTACCATGCCCTAAACTTCACCATACGTTACCAAACAAAATGAAAGACTTCGGGGAATTTTATCTTTTTGAGTGCATTCATAAAAATTTCATAAAACTGAAGTTATCCTTGTGGGGACTGAAAAAATTACCCTAAATATTAAAGTTACGGGTTACAGGAAAATCTGATCCCCACAATAAATTGATTACAAAAATGGGCGCGCACACACACACATGCACACACACACATGCACACACACATACAGGTGCACTAACAAACACACACACATATGCACACACACACACAACTGCACTATCCCCCATACACAGGCACACACACACATGTGCACACATAGGCACACACGCACAAGTGCACTAACACACACACATACATGCACACATACACACACAGGTGTACTAACACACACATACGCACGCAAGCACATAGAGGCATGCACACACAGACACGCACATAGACACCTACACACACACACACACACACACAGAGTCACTAACAGATGCACACCACCACCCTCCCCCACGCACAAACACAGACACATACACAGGGCGCTGGCTCATTGCAGGAGTGGGCAGAGCAGTAACATTACTAATGCCCATTAGGGAGGAATAGGTATTGATTGTGGTGAGGACAGGTATGGTGGATTGTCCCCGTTAGCTGGGATAAGCATCCCGCCGGCCTGCTATCTGTTATCACTCTTTCTAAGGCTGGGAGGCTTCTGTCGCACCGCGTCTCAACCATTAGTCCATCCGTCTTTCCGCCCGGTACCTTCCGGAACACAGGTGCTGGGCCCTCCGAGATCTGACACGGTTAGATTCCCTAAGCAGCTCTCCCGGAGATAAACACGCCCCTCCCCCGCAGTTTCCATCCCGGCCACATGTCTGATCCGGCCGTAAGCCGGGCCGGGGGGATGGGGGTAGCAGTAGAGTAGTGGGTCCGTCACGGTGCTGTGACTCATCAGTGCAGATCAGGTGTGAAAAGTGATGCAGAGGCACAGGGGTGTGTGCATGTGACCACGCATGTGTCCTTTACATCACAATGCCCAGTCAGGAAAGCCTCTACTGATTGGTCGCCATGCTTCTGGGCCACGCCCCTGACTGACACACAGCACAGGTGACCTCCAAGTTCACCTAGCAGCTAAGAAGCAGCATCTTAATTTTGGCTGGCAAAAGAAGTGACATCATTCAAGGCCCCGTGATTCATAGGGCAGGAAGAAGCGCCTTTCACTGTGTAATGTCACATATTTGTGGTATGCTCCTTTTTTTTGGTTTGTTTATTAGACATCGATTGGAGCTCTGCGTCCTTCCCCAGGCATACAGTGAGCTGTATTAATCAGGAGCCCAAAGGCTTCCAGCACGGCCAGCATCCATGCGGATCGATGCCAGTGACAGCGGCTCGCGGTTCCAAAGCCCTCCGCCGGCGTTAAATATAGCCTGCCGCCATCCTGCAGCCGAGTCGGCCGGCTTCCGCTGCCACAGGAGGTGCTGCCCGCGCCGAGAGCAGCGACTGCATCCTGCTGAGGTGAGGCCCCAGTGACGCGCGCCGACGCCACAGCCGGGTCACCGCTCTGCGAGGATGCCCAATCGGAAGTGGGCGGTGGGGGTAGGGTGTGGCTCGTTTTACAGTCATACCATGACATGGATCTGTGTCTGTGTCTGAAACACTGAGTCTACCACACTGTATGTAAGCAGTGTGTGTGCGTTAAATACTGTGTGCTTTGGATGCATTAAACACTGTACGCTGTGTGTGTGTGTATATGAGAAACACAGTGTGCTGTGTGAAGCACTGCACGCTGTGTGGGTATTAAACACTGCACGCTGTGTGTGAAGCACTGTGTGCTGTGTGTGTGAAGCATAGTGCGCTGTGAGTGTGTGAAACCCAGTACGCTGTGTGTTTAAAACTGTGTATAGTGTGTGAAGCACTGTGCCCTGTGTGCGTTAAACACTGTGTGCTGTATACAGTATGTGAAATACGGAACGCTGTGTGTGAGGGCTGGGCAATATTACTTCGATATTATATCGCGCATATATAATAATCACCAGGGCTTCAGATGACGGGTGAAACATTTGGCCGGACGCCAGCTTTTTAGCACTATATGGACATTTATTTACTCCCACAGTTTGGTCATAAATAAGCAGATTAGTAGTACGGCTTAAATATTAATGATATGTGTTTTGTGACACCCAAAAGTTAGTAATCTGTAAAAACTTGGCGTATCTTTATGTTGGAATACTTCAGTGCACTGAAGTGGTGGTGAAGAAAGGAATAGCTCAGGAGCCATGACATCTTTTAAAAGAGGAGATATTGTGGATAAACAAGGTATCGTGATGTTGGTGGTGTGGCGGTACTTTCTGCAGTTTAAAGTCTGACACATTTATTAAACATAAGGATATTCCGAATTTACACTTATCGCTAACTTTTGGGAGTCATAAACTGCATCATTAATATTTTAGGCGTACTATTAATCTGCTTAACAAATCGTGGGTGTAAATAAATGTCCATATAGTACCGAAATGCTGGCATCCGGCCAAATGTTTTGCCCATCATCTGAAGCCCTAGTGATTATCGCGCATGTGTTATATAATATTGATATGATATCGCCCAGACCTAGTATGCGTTAAACCCCGTACGCTGTGTGTGTGAAACACTGTACACTGCATGTGTGTTAAACACTATGTGCTGTGTGTTTGAAACACTGTGTGCGTAACACTGTACATACGCTTTGTGTGTATGCGTGTGTGTGTGAAATATACTATGCTGTGTGTGTGTGAAACACTGTACGTTGTGTGTTAAAGACTCATTGCATATAGTGTTATGAACACAGAGTAAAAATGCTGTTATAGACACCGCATATACTGTTGTTGACATGGTATGTATACTGTAATGTTATAGACTCTAAGGTGTCTATAACATATCTAGTGTCTAGTGTCTACAATATATGAGTCTATAACAGACGATACACACTGAGTCTATAACATTAAATGCACTGTGTATAATACTATGCACACTGAGTCTATATCATTAAACACTGCGTGTATAACACATGTCCATAACAGTACGCACACTGTGCCAATAACACTACACCTGACGTTAAGCAGTACTAAATGTTATATACTGGTACTATTTCATTTATTAGGATCATTTCATCATGTTTGTCCAAAGTTGTGAGCTGTAGGAATCAGGGTTAGTGCGAAAGCAGAGCAGAAGCTGGGATCTAAACCAACACCCTTAAGGTTACATGTCCATAGCGTCAAGGATTATTATGAATGGATACTAGAGTAGCAAACTCAGCTCCTTCCATTAAGTGGGGTCGCGACCCGCCTACCTTTCGGGTAATACGCCCGCCTGGCTGCGTCCTGCTGCAGGCGGGCCTTGCGCTCCTCGGCCACGCAGCTCCGGCGGGGGCTGTGCTCCTGGTGCAGGTGGGCGCCCTCTGGAGTGCCGCGGTCCCTCATCACCTTGGCCCGCTCCGATTCCAGAGCGATGGCCTTCTCCAGCAGTGACAGGTTGCCCTTAGTGATGTCGAAGGCCTCCTCGGAGCGGTCCGAGACCACAGAGGCGGCGTCCTCCTCGGTGCCCCGGAACGCACCACGCTCCCGCAAGCCCCTGCCCACCGGGCCCAGATGCTCCTCCAGCTTCATCAGGTTGGCCATGTCAGAGTAGCGGCGCTCCTGGGCAAGGCAGGGCAGTTGGTGGTCCAGGGTGGGGACATGCAGCTGCGTCTGTGCCAGCTGCGTCTCGCTCAGCTTGCGCGCGAGGTCGAAGCACTGGGTACGCAGACACTCCAGACTGCTGAGGCACACGGCCTCCTCCTCACTTTGCTCCAACCGGCCACCCCGGACACCCGCCTCCACTGCCGCCTCCAGCTGCTCAGGCAGCACGGCGCCATGCCCCTGGGCCAGCAGTTTCAGGGAGTCCACCGTCTCGCGCACCACATCACTCTCGACGTCCAGGCTTAACTGGCCACCACGCGCCAGCCGCTCCCTCTCCTCGTCTTCCTCATCATCGTCCTCGCCAGCGCTGTTCGATGAGTTGCTGTTCATCTCCGACTCGGTCATGGCCTGGTAGGCCGCGTCCTCGGCAATCTTGCCCAGGTTCAGCAGGGATTTGGCCACCAGCTCATCATAGTTCTCGTACTCATCTGCGGCACCAGCACTGGTGCTGATGCCGCCACCATCTTTCTCGGCCACCTGAGCTGCTTTGCTCTGTCCACTGTTCATCTGACCGCTCACTGTCGAAAAGAGAGCGAGCATTAAGTGCACAGGCTCCGACTGAAGGCACCATGTGGTGAGGAGCTGAGGTATGTCTTAAAAGAGAACAGGCTGAGATATGCAAAAGCTTACATATTTTTTTCCATGCAGCTCACTTCCCATAAAAATTGTGGTGACTCCACAAACAAGATACAATTATTAAGCATCTATCTCATGATCTTTAGGGATGTTGAGGGCAAAGTCAAAGGAAAAGAATAGTCAGATATATCATCATGAGAGCAATACTCACAAGCTCCTATTGAAGTGAGGGAATGAACAGATGAAGATGAAGCTAAACATTTATGGAGGTCTGCCCTTAAACCTCTATCAAGAATAAACACTGATCACAGTGTTCATGTGCTAACAGTCCTCTTGGTTATTGGCTAATAGAGGAATGGAGTTTTGAATGTGAAAGTGGTGTGTATTTCTGTGATTCTTTGTTGAGATTATAGCTAAAATCTTTGTACAAGCTATTTGTGCAGGACAACATTCATCACAACTTATGAGAGGCTTAAATTCTAGTGTCGAGATGTTTGAATAAAAATATCTACAGTATCATACCAAAATTAATGGGACAGGCTTCTGTGCTGCCCACTGCAATATTCACATGAATTCTCAAAATATCCACAAATATTTGCATATTTTAAGTTGCATGTTTTTAAGACCATTGGTGCATCCCATGACAAGTAAATAAATTGAATCTTAAGTTTCATTACCAAGTTAAAAGCATTTCCAACATCTATGCAAAGTTATTCCTACCTTCCCCACTTGTGTGTTCTTCATAATCCTCCTCCTCCTCCTCTTCTTCTCCTTCCTCCTCATCTTCCTCTGCTCCGTCCTCCAGTGTCTCCGCCTCTAGCTCTTCCTCCCTCTCTGCCTCACAGACCTCTTCTTCCCCTTGATCATCATTGTCCTCTGAAAATTCCTCTTCCTCCATCTCTTCTTCCTCCTCCTCTTCATCTTCCTCCTCGTCATCCTCATCCAGCTCCTTCTCCTCCACCTCCTCCATGCCGTCTGTCTCGTAGCACTCGTCCAAGGAGGAGTTGTCGGCGTGCATCAGCGTAGGCCTCCTCTTAGGGGAGGGCTCCTGTGGCTGCCTGTCCTGAGTTTTCCTCTTCTTAGCCAGAGGGCAGCCATAAACACTGTAGGTGTGAGACAGGCAGACAGCCAGGCAGACAGACAGACAACCAGGCAGGCGGACACAGAGAGACACACAGCTTTTAGTTTAGTGCTCGGCACACTCTTCAAAACCATAACATCTACCTAGTACAAGCAATCAACGGGAATCCCTACTTATCAATGCAGGGGCATATGCAAGGGAGAGGCTACAGGTTCAATTGGCCCAATTGAAAGCTAATTGGCGTCTGGAGTGTCCCCTCCCCTGTCACTCACTGATTAAAAATACATCATTGGCTTATAAGATTGGCATCTTTATATGAATTTTGACCTTTCTTATGCCCCCTACCTTGAATGAATCAACATCAAACCAACCCGTCTATCTCTGTTTCAGAATTATTTTGGATTTCATCAAAGCTAGTATCACAACCCAAAAATGAATTAATATTAATTGATGTTTAGAAAAACTTACCAAAAGACAAGGGTACACTGTCAGAAAAGTACCAATTTGTACCTTTGAGGGTACAATTACTTGTTATTGGGGCTGTACCCTCAAGGGTCTGCAAAGTGTACCCTGGCTGTTGGTAAACTTTCAACCCTTTCAACCCTAACCCTAACTTTCAAGGTTTAGAAATGGACTCTGAGGAACATGTCTGTACCATTGGGGGTACATTCATGTTCTTTATACCTTGGGGTATAATACTGTACCAGGGCTGTACCCTTTTTTCTGACAGTGTAGGCAGCCAGCTGGGGGGCCCCTATAACTAGGGGTACCATGTAGACAGATTTCCAGAAGTTAATATTATATTCTGTCCATAAATGTATCATATAACAACATGTCTGTTATTTGAATTTTAGTGAGTTTTCAGGATAGACAAAGTTCCCCCTGTAATGGATTATCCCTATTTTGAGACTTCATGCCACCCAGCTTTCTTTTAAGACTGGAGTCGAGTAGTAGAGGCTACCGGCTGTTTCACTGCCAAGCAGACAGGCACAAAGTAGCCTAGCTGAAGAAAACAGCACAAACATACAAAACTACCATTACACCTCCCAAGCCTATGATACTGTCCCGCTAGAGTGGTAGATAAATTGTGGACAGACATGGAAAGAACACAATTAAATGAGCACATGCAAAAATCTCTGCAGAGTAACACATAGGCTATCCTAGGCTACAGCCTAGGGTCACGGCAAAATAGGCAATGGTTAAAATTCTTATATTTGGCCAATCGATCCGCTGGTGCGATACTTCCCTGCCCTCAATGTGCGAATTTTACCGAAAGCACTCCCCTCCACACTCTGAACAGTAAGTTTTCCATTACCAATGCCACCCTTGCTTTCATTAGCAGATGATTGTTTTGAATTCCCTCTCCTTCCTCTTTCGGCTTCAAAAAATAGCTGCAATGTCCCACCTAAGGCCCCCATACCAATGTCAGCCTAGGGCCTCCAGAGAAGTTAGTCCACCCCTATCTGTCAGTACAGCACAGGGACACAGTAAGCCTGGAGCCTATGCCAGGAAGCATAGGACTTCAGGCAGGGGACACCCTGGACCTGGACAGTCTGTTTGCAGGAAGATAGGGGCGTTATTCTAGCACCCTGGTTAGGGTCCTAACACAGGTCCGGCGCCTTCCTGAAGACTCAGACTGCGCCAAGGCCTCCTTGCTATCACTAATGCGACACACGCATGGTATCAGGTTAAAGAGCACTGCTGCAATCTATCCACGACCCCGGGGACTCACAGGGCCACACAGTCCCGTGCGTCCCTGAATTATTGAGCAGTGTTACTGAGCTTGGGGAGCCTAATCACGGCTCTGTGTTTGGGGGAGTTGCGGGGTGATCTGGGGCTGCAAAGTCTCATGGAAAACCTCACATTCATTTCCATCACCCAGTGAAAAAAGTGCCAATCACAGTTCACTGCAGAGACACACATTTTGTTACAGTTTGGGCAGCTTGTCTATAATGTGGTGTAGAGCAGAGCATTATCGATCCCCACAACATAGCCGCATAAACTGAAACTGCTGGGTGTGGATTTAACGGGTTTTTTTTAAATCACGTTTAATTTCTATCAAATATTAGATTCACCAATATACATTTCTATTCTATAATAAATCGTTTAGTTGGATATTATCACTTCATTGGCTATATCAGTGTTCTTGTGTCTTATTTTTTATATCGGTGTTTATGCGTTATCAAAGCTCCTTTGTACGGACGCCTCCCAAAGATCTTTGTTAGCGCGCGGCCGCGGGCTTCGCGCGGGAATCGCGTTAATAAGCTGCATTCCCAGCGAAGAGAGCCTGATAGGAAGGCAAACGCTTTCGATTTCAAAGTCAGCCTGTTTGCCCGTTTCATTTCCTGGTGCCACTTATCTATTCCGCGTCTGCACCCGGCGTCCCGTCATCTCTGCTATTCGCACTGAGAGGAAAACCGTGATTTTACCGCTCTGTTCATACACATATAAAACCGTAATTATTCTCACACGTTATATCATTGACATCGTTCCTGCAGTCGAGTTTGACGCAGGCGAGCCTGCAGTAAATGTCTCCGGCATTTTTACCGGCGTTTCGCCACCGACTAACGAGCAGCATCTCTCTTTGTCTACTGAGAAGCGGCACTCCCTTGCTCTCTACTGGTAGGGCACACCAATTAAAAATCCACAGGTAATTAGGCTCCATTTAAACGAGGAGGCTCGCCTGACACCCTGTTTGTCCGGGATATTCTCGGAGAGCTGTCTGCTGGTCCTGTCGCAGTCTCTACGAGAGTCGTTTTCACTTAACGGAACCGTCCAATAGGAATTGCGCAGTCCCAATTGATTTGGAATAACTAACCAATGGGAAGCCGGTCCATCTTGCTGAATCTTTTTGGATTTTTTTCTAACTGTTCCACTGATTTTTAAAGTAATTCTGGACCAGTAATAATAATAGTATAAAAAAGAAACAAACAATGAAACTCATGACATGGAGATAATGTGGGTGGTCAATTAAAAGGATACAAATCTGTAAAGTTGACAAGTGCCCTAAACCTCATTAAGGAATTTTGTCTTCCTTGAAAGAGTTCCCAGTTGCCTTTAACCCCAGACCATAATGAGCCTGTGTGGTCCCCCCCCCCGCCAAATTGGTTTATAATACCAAAGGCACTTTGAGGAGGGGGAACAGCAGATAGTGCCTGTCATCTCTGCAGGGGTGGTGGTGGTGGTGTTGGGGGCGGGGATGGGGGGGTTCAGGGCACGTGTCCCCTTGCTGGCTTGGCCCGGACCCACAGGACGGCAGCAGGACCGTTTCTCACAGCCCCACGGGAGCTGTCATAAGGGCCCGGTGCTCCCTGGGCCCCGTCCATGCCTCTTCTCACGCTCCCAGGGGGGGTGTCAGTGGAGGACATGCGTCGTTCATGCCCTGTCAGTTTATCTCCTTATTTAACCCCCCCCCCCCCACATCATTTACATAAAGGAGTTGTCATTGGGGCTCCACTCTTGTTGTTGCTGTGCCGGTGCGGGGGCTGTCATGGAGGCTTGCAGCATACTGGGCCTCATCCAGAACCCAGAACCGGCTATTTCACACTCACAGGCACACATTGCTTAGCTCGTGCCCCATCCCCCCACCCTCCCCCACTAGCACGGGGGCTGCCATAGAAGCGGAATCCGCCAGCTCACGCGGTGGAATGTGGTCTCCATGGTGATATCCTCATGGCATCCTAGCGGGATTAGCCGTCCGTGCCATCGCCTGAGCCAGGCGTGGTGATGCTATAGCCAAGCAGCTAACCCCACCCCAAAAAAATGAACAATGCCGTGATGGTGGCCGCTCTGCCAGGTGTCTCTGATTACCTAAGGGGGATAACCCTAATAAGGAAGACCTTCCCACAAAATTAGGCAACAAAAAGGCGGCTAATGAAGTGCTAGTATGTATTTATGCATGGACATGTAAGTAGGCCGCTCATCGTCTGGGAGGTTTTGAATCGCAAGTCCTGCACTGTGATGCTGGGTCAGTGCCAATGGCCTCAGAAAGAGAGGAAAGGGAGAAAACAACATTATGGGCCACCAGTGGGCAGCACTGACCAGAACATCATACCTTCAAGTACAGTCTAGGAAGAGTACGGCTGCTGTACCTCCAAACAGAGTCTAGGAAGAGTACGGCTGCTGTACCTCCAAACAGAGTCTAGGAAGAGTACAGCTGCTGTACCTCCAAA